TGGGGAGGGGGAGGCGGTGGATAGCTCCTACAGAAACGTAACTGGCGTGGTCGGGCGTCGCTCAAAACGTCTATAGTTCCTCCATGCTGAAAATCTCTTGGAAGTGACGAGGCAAATCCCCCGGTTAAATAATGACAAGAGGTTTCAAAGGCATTACTACGAAAGCCTATTCGTGCCACTTAAGTATATAAAATCATCAAAATGTAATCCGAAATTTCGGATTAGTAATCCGAAATAACGGATTAGTAATCTGTTATTTCGAATTAGTAACTCGTTATTTCGGATTACTAATCCGAAATTTCGAATTAGTAATTCGTTATTTTGAATTAGTAATCCGTTATTTCGGATTACAACCCGAAATTTCGAATTAAGTAATTCGTTATTTCGAATTAGTAATTCGTTTTTTCGGATTACTAATCCGAAATAACGAATTACTAATTCGAAATTTCGGATTAGTAATTCGTTATTTCGGATTACTAATCCGAAATTTCGAAAATTCGTTATTTCGAGTTAGTAATTCGTTATTTCGGATTGCTAATTCGTTATTTCGAGTTAGTAATTCGTTATTTCGAATTACTAACTCGAAATAACGAATTACTAATTCGAAATTTCGGATTAGTAATCCGAAAAATCCGAAAAAAATATTTTCATTAAAATCGAGACAGCTGAAAATAATTATAGGCCTATGTTTTTCTTTAATTTTTTTTATGTATAAACTTAAATCTTTTTTTGTTGCAGTAATTTTTGTTGTACCTGTTACTGTACACACTGTTTATTGAGAAAAAAAACCAGCTCCATTCTCAAAGTAATTCAGTTATTGCAATTCGTAAAACATTATACAAAGACAGACTCTCTTCAGGATTATTTGGTTGAGACAGTTGTCTTTCTTTTGTCACATGTGTACTGGCTCTTGAAAATTCACTCAGTAATTCATTATGTTGTATTACTAATTCGTTATTTCGAGTTAGTAATTCGTTATTTCGAGTTACTAATCCGAAATTTCGAATTAGTAATTCGTTATTTCAAATTACCATCGGCCGATTGAGATTAGCAGGATGGCATGATCACTGCAGGTTTTCTTGAAAACTCAGATGAGAATGTGTTAGGTGTAAATTGTCGGAAAAGCAGTAGGACTAGGCTATAGAAAAATGTAAGAAGATGAAAATTGGAAATATACTGTCTGTCCAGGGAGCTCTCATCTGTCCAAGATAAATATCCTCTTTTTGATATTGACTAAAGGAGAATATGCCGCTTCCACTCCACACCTTAATCATGCTTATTCAAATGGGGCGCTTATTCGCGCGAGTACGGTATTTGTTTTTCTTCCTTCCAATGTTTTCTCTCCGACCGGGACGGGAATCAGGTCTCCCTGGCAGTGGCATCACCCCTGCATGTTCGCCTTGAGTCATTTTCTAAATAAGAAAAACTTTAGGATGGCGTCACGCTGGCGGGTCGTGGGGGGGGGGGGGGTCGCCAGGGCCCCAAGGCACGAGTGGCCCCGATATTGTAGTTTTAAAATAAACTATAATAGTTTCATAGTTTCATTCATGGGGCCCCGACAGTTTTAAACAATAAAAGCTGGGTTCTGATGTTTGACATTTGTTTCTGATTTTGTGATCAATCTGTTTTGCATTGTATATAGGCCTACGTACGTTATTAAAACATGCTTTGTTTCTCACTAAAATATTGTCTGCATTAATTTACATCTACATAGAGTACATAATGATTAGGCCTAACCAGTTCCGAAAGCTGATCTGTTGGTTTTGTCATAAAATTTTCTGAATAATTCATCCCGTTCTATGTTCTCATAATGACGCAGTTAACAGTTCATAATTGCCATAAACTCTGACTGCGGGGAGGCGAAGCCCCTCGGACCACCACCATTGACCTTCACCCCCTGGACCCCGACCTGGTGCCCTACGCGCCTCCCTGGCTCCCGTGTCTGTTTGCTCGCTCCGCCCGAAAACTTACGCTCCATTCGCTCGCTTATTAGGGCCCCCAAACAGTCACCACCAGGGTCACTCCGTGACGCCACCGTTAAAGGAAGATCGAGAGTGCATATTTATTTAGGTCTATTTTCATTTAGTGCATTATTTAACAATTAGCCTTTTTTTATGTAAACATATAAAACGATTATTCAGAAGCTACGGTTAGTACCGTAGTGAGTCTTATCTAATCAGCATGCGTTTTTGTATACTAGTGTCAAATTCGTTGATTGAATAATTACTGAGAGATAACTGGACCCTTCAATCAAACTTTTAAAAAAAGCGGCCAACCACAACTTGTTCGAATCTGCCGCGCCCCTGGTCGTTTTTTTTTTTTTTTTTAACTTTTAGCGACATGTATATGGGCGGCCCCTTGGTTTAGCGGAAAGGTCCCATTGTGTTTAATTTATAAACTTCATGTATACATAGCGCATGAATGTAAAGTTTTTTTATACCGTGATTTGAAATTGAAACATGTATACCGTAAAACCTCGAATTGAAGCCCTGGGATGGGCATCTTTTTGAGATGGGCTTCTTTTCGAGACTACTTATGGAAAGTAAAGAGGGGGATTTTTTCAAATGAATATTGTAAATTTTGTAAATTTGTACTATAAAATAATAAATAAGGCCACTGTAACATCATTTTGCATCATGAAGTGTATTTAACTGGCATTAAATCACCTAACTGTACATGTATAAACCAAGTTTTCTGAAATTCATGTACAGCGTATTTCCTGTACTATGTCGAAAAGACGCCTATGCTATATTGACAAGAAGACCATGGGCTTCTTTTCAAGATGGGCTTCTTTTCTAGGATAATTTTGCAAATATAGAAAGGAGGCTTCAATTCGGGATGGGGTTCATCTCGAGATTAAGCCCACTGGGCTTCAATTCGAGGTTTTACGGTATTACGTATTTGTGAATAACCATGGTAGGTCATTACCCTTATAATTTAACCAGGATAATAAGAATTTATCTCAGCTCTTGTTTAATTAACTCACTATTTCGAGTGTCATCAATTCCGGTATTTATCAATGTCCATGTTTACATTATATTCTACCTAGAATTTACGACCCATTTTCTGAAAAATTTACAACCATATCTATTAAGCAAATTTGTTTTATTAGTTTCACCATACTTGGTACTTGGTATTTATCTTTCTATGACAGGAATATCTGGCTGAGGGGTCATTGACTGCATAAACCAGTTGAATACACTGCTAATACTTATTCAGAGAGAGAGAGGGAGATAAAGATCGGATTGGTGGTTTACAATTAATAATTTAGTGTCATTGTTATTTAACTTAGTTTACATAACATGTTACTTATACAGGTTAGTTTAAAATTTAAAATTTTCTGTGGAAATAATTCTTGATAGATTAATATCTATCAACATGGCTATTTTTAGATAGATAGAAGTTGGTCTTCCGATCCTGCGTGCACTTATTCGGTGTATGTGGAATAAGTTCGCGAAACAAGGAGCTCAAGTGTGACATATTTTGTTGTAGCTAGTGTTATATTTATATAATAATAATAATAATAATAATAATAATAATAATAATAATAATAATAATAATAATATTAATAATAATAATGATAATAATAATAACTATAACAATAACAATAATAATAATAATAATAATAATAATAATAGTAATAATAATAATAATAATAATTATAATAAATAAATATAAATAAAGTCTAAATATGATGTTTATAGCAATATACTATGTATATGATCGATTTATTCGACTTTCAACGGGGTTTTGCTCCGCCTCTAACTAGTGACCTTTAGCTGTTTATATGATGCCATACTGTAGGCCTACATCATTAACGCTGAAGAAGTCCTAGTTCTGTACATTTAATTAACGCTGAAGAAGTCCTGAGGACAGGACGAAATATACGTTTTTCAATTAAATAATATATATTTGATGTTCTGCAACCTCTGTCATTTATTTTCGAAGAAGATACAAGGCCTTTCAAATATTATACTTTTTTTCTCAAGATGGAAACCGCTTAATAAACAAGTAGGCCTACGGATTCATAATTCATAATTTACTTTATTGCAATCGTATAAATAAAAGATTGGATAAAACAAAAAAAGAGAAAAGGACAAAAAAAAAACAAAAAACAAAAAACAAATATACGCAATTGAAAAAAGAATGTTTCATTTTTCAATTGCGTATATTTGTTTTTTTATGTTATTATAATAATAATAATAATAATAATAATAATAATAATAATAATAATTATTATTATTATTATTACTATTATTATAATTATTATTGTTATATTTATTATTATTATCATTATTATTATTATTATTATTATTATTATTATTATTATTATTATGGTCACATTATTAAGAAGACACAACAATAATTGTTACTTAACCAATATCCTGAGGCGCGTGGAACGGAGAGAGTAGAGAAAACAGTAGAACTTATACATACTGTTTGTGGTGCTGAACTAATAATAATAATTCAAATAATAAAACATTAAATAGTTAAACCGTTATTAAATTTTTAATTATTGGTCATGTTGTAACTTCAGCCGTTGTCTTTCAAACCATTTAAATTATCGTAGCAAAAAGTATAAAAACTAACTTGTGTTTTTAATGAAAGTTAATCACTTGTAAATTATAAATGCTTGAAAATGTGTAGTTCAATGGTTTGATTGAATGTGTGTGGAATGGGAATTGAATATATGGCGTAGACCTATGTTTAAGAAAAAAATACAAAGTATAGGCCTATGTAGGCCTAAAAAAAAACAAAGGTTACTTTGTATTTGGTCACGGAGGGCTATATCTGAGGATTTTTCAAATGAAAGATAGGGGGTAGCTAGCTACCCTATTCTCCCTTCTCCCTCCATGACTGGATCCGCCAATGATCGCGCACACAGCAAATCTATTATATTATAGATGTATCGAGTTTAAGTGGATGGTGGCCGTGATTTAAAAAAATTTTAAATCCATAAATCTCAGGTCAGTTCTTTTAAGATAGAAATGCGATACTGTGGTTCAATTTCGTTTTTATTCATTTGCAAGTTTCTTTAAATGTTTGTTTAATAATACTACTACTAATAGTAATAATAACAATGATGATGATGACGATAGTAATAATTGATATTAATATTAATAACAATAAAAAGTGAAGAAAATTGTGCTAAATGCGAAAGAAAAAGTTGTGATTTGTTGATCATACTATAGTATATATAGTTAAAGCTTAGTAAGCTATAATTAGGCCAAAGTTGTCCTGGATATTAAGTAGATTCATGATAAAAGGTCATGAGAAATTTGTTGGCGTTTCATTTTGACTATAATGGTAATGTGATGATGATGAATTTTACTATATAAAAGTGTCCTTTCCGGCCATCTCGAGAGGTACTATTTCCTCAAATTTTCTCACCTCAGCCCCAGCCACGGTGGGGCTGAGGTGCTTGTGAAATCACGTTTTTGAAGACGGCCTATGTAAAGTACATACTCAAAGACAATGTTTTAAAGCTTTTTTTCTATGTTTTTTTCTATGGTATATCACACACACATTAATAAGAATAAGATCTCTATGGTTGTCAAAAATCTCTGATAAAAGATCATGTTTGTTTAATAACTACTACTAATAGTAATAATGATAACAATGATGATAATGACGATAGTAATAATTGATAATAATATTAATAGCAATAAAAAGTGAAGAAAATTGTGCTAAATGCGAAAAAAAGTTGTGATTTGTTGATCATACTATAGTATATATAGTTAAAGTTTAGTAAGCTATAATTAGGCCTAAGTTGTCCTGGATATTAAGTAGATTCCTGAAAAAAGATCATGAGAAATTTGTTGGCGTTTCATTTTGACAATAATGGTAATGTGATGATGATGAATTTTATTATATAAAAGTGTCATTTCCTGCCATCTCGAGAGGTACTATTTCCTCAAATTTTCTCACCTCAGCCCCAGCCATGGTGGGGCTGAGGTGCTTGTGAAATCACGTTTTTGAAGTAGGCCTATGTAAAGTACATACTCAAAGACAATGGTTTTAAGCTTTGTTTTCACACACATTAATAAGATCTCTATGGTTGTCAAAATCACTGATAAAAGATCGTGAGAATTTCTTTTGGCGCTTCATATTGACTAATGGTGATGTGATGATAAATTTTACTAAAAGTGTCATTTCTGGCCATCTAGAGGTACTATTTCCTCAAATTTTCTCACCTCAGCTCCAACCATTGTGGGGCTGGGGTGGGTGTCGACTTACAAAATGCCCTCCCCCTCCACCTTTCAAAACAGATCTGTTCCCTTCCCTGGGTATGACATTAAACTCCATCGAGTCGGCTCCTGATGTATGTCTTAGTGACTGCTGTTTGTTTTTAGGGTGTGATCTGGTTGTTCATGTCCATTTTTCGTGATTATTACTATTCTGGATAAAGAATGTTTTGAGCCGAGGTGGATTCAATGCACCCCTCTTCATTTTTTTAAGGAAAATAAAGGAAAAATATATTCAAATTGAAGTGTGAGAGTGTAATTTCGGCCATCTAGAGATGCCCTAATCATAAACTTTCTTTTCTTTTCCGAGGTGGGTGGTTCCTCGGTCTGTGAAAGTCCCTCCCTGGTTCACCTCTCTTTCGAATTCCTGGATCTGCTACTGTTGATTTATTATACTAGTGTATAATTATTATTTCGCTTATTTATAATGCGTCTATTGCAATTTTCACTTTATCCTCTCAAACAGTCCTAAGAACGTTCAGAGTGCGCTACTTCACAGGGGGATCGCCCCCCTCCCCCTTGACCCCGCCGGGGTCATACGTAATTCGCATAACGGCTCCCCCCTTTCAAAATCCTGGTTACGTCCCTGGTTAGAGGCGGAGCAAAACCCCGTTGAAAGTCGAATAAATCGATCCTATACATAGTATATTGCTATAAATATCATATTTAGACTACGGTATACGGATCTCAGCACAACTTTAGTCGATTTGAAATCGGTACCTAGGATTAAAAAGGGTAAATCACTGATAGAATGGTTCAATGAATTAAAGTGGTCAGCAACAGGGAATACCTTTTGAT